AAATAAAATACTACTCATATGACTTGTGCGGCATGCGTGGCTGTGGGGGAGTATTTTGGCGGGTTGCACAGATTGCTGTAAAGCCAAAGTCAGATTAGATGATCAACAATGCCATGTGCTAGAGAAAGAGCGATTACCTAGAATCTCGAGAAAAAATGCTATCTAACCCCAACATAACATGGTAGCTTCCAACATCTATTCCATTATTTGTTGTTTCTTCTTCATAGAAAATCTCTTCGCTCAGAGAGCGTCAGCAGGTTTTCAGGACAAGCGACAAAAAATACAAATACCTGTTGCCAGAAGGTTAAGGGCTTAGTGTTTGGATTTAGGGTCTAGGGTTTGGGGTCTAGCATTCAGCACCCGCGTTGCCCGCTGCCAGTCCTTGACATTGATGTGATGACAGGCACCCTTGCAAACCGCACATCCGGAACGTTCAGCGCTGACAACTACAAACTCTCAAGCCCTGAATCCTAAAGCGTAGACATTCTTGCCGCCTCCATGATTGACTGAGTCTCCGCTGGCAGCGACACCTGAGCTACCCGGGACCCCGGGACCCAGGACATGATTTCAGCCAAGCAGGTTCAGGGTTTAGGGTTTCGGGGTTTAGAGGTTTAGGGATGTTGGGAGGGTTTAGGACATAGGCTGCAAGCTGAATCTGGGGGTAAAGACCTACAGATAACTTTGGTGGTCGCCAGGCAGGCGTTCGATCGCAGGGGCAGGTTCGCCATGCAGGTGGCTGCGTACTCCAAAACAACAGGTACAGCAAGCGCGAGTTCTGCTGAAGAGACATACAATACCACCACACCAACGGCAACTGTGACGATGTATTGCAGAGCGTAGTACCACCAAAATTGCGACAACATAGCTCGCAAACACCATGATGGACAATAAAGTCATGTCAGCATGGTGATGATGTGGTGAGATACTGCTATATATGACAGCAGCAATAGAGTAGTCACAGCCCCAGACTTGAGTCGATGGATCTAGGACTACACTGCACGCCAGAATGAGCTTACAGCTCGAATTGTTAACATCCTCAACCCATTCCCTGGGCAACACAAACACGCCACTCTCTTTAAAACCGAATCCCACACAAAGCGTAAAGAGTGTCTGCTCCACGCGCTGATCTATTGTCTTTTCTGAACAGGCTCCCCCCTACATACCCCAAACTACCACATTCTTTCTTAAAGGCCTGGCCAGAAAGGGATCCATGACTTTTGACAAATCCGCGACGTGTGTCTCTGTATTCCCCAGCTCAGGCAGCGGCGATGAGAAGGTCGCCCTGATACAGGGCGATCTGGGAATAATTTTGGGCTAAGATAGAGATTATGTGAGCTATAGATAGCTATAGTCTAAACTCTTAGTATCCCCCTTAAGAACCCCTGCAATAGTCCCCTACATAATCCCTTATACTTGTAACCAACCCTGAAGGAGTTAGACTAGGGCTCATGCAGGGGTTCCACAGGGCTCATATCCGGTTTGGGGATATTATGGCGTTGGCATCCCCCAAGGATCCGCCAATGTATGAATCTCTCGTGGCAAAGGGGTTCTATAAGGGGATCATAGGAGATTGTAGAAGGGACTACTATAGGGGTGATTAAGGGGGATACTAGGAGTGTAGAGGATGGCTCATGTAGTGCAAAACTACTCGAGACATGGGCATGCGCTGGACCTTGCCTGATTCTGCTGAATCTGTATTCCCCCTCAAGTAGATAGAATATGGTTCTGGGCATATGTTAATAATAAGATCCCCATATACCCCATATTCCATCTACTTAAAGGGGACTATAGACCTCCCTAAACCCTTAACCCTAAACAACATAGCAGTTTCCATTTTCTTTTCCATGATCCCTATGTAGCCCAGATACCCCCCACCATAGACTGAATCTATTTTGTGGCCTTGCGAGAACGACCTGTAGACTCCTCAAATGACTGGTTGAACCAAGGGTTCAGGGTGTAGGGTTTAGGCTTCTAAACCCGAACTCTAGGAACAAACTGCCCTGCTAGGTCTGGATCCCTCGCCTTCGGGTCCCACTCTGCGCTGGCTTCTCTCGAGTTGAAGTGCTGCGGCCTTGCCATTCTTCAAAGCATGCAATGTGCACGGTTTTCAGGTTGGCATTGTTCAAGGCGGCTGTTTGGGGCCGCGTCTTTTTCAGCCACCCTTGGTTGCGCTGTCCGGCACTTTTCTTGAAGAATCCACTTAAGCATGATCTGCTTTGAAGGAAGCCCTGCAAGAGACCAGCACCGGAAAGGTTCCTGGCCCGCGAACCCAGGGGGCCTGGAAATATGATACCATACATCTGGTAGTTCCCCAAAATTGGTGGGCCTCAATATAGATCCCAAAGTACTATGTTCCTTTTTCCCCGGGCGTCCAAACAGTGCCCCTAATGTTGGGAAACCCTCATATGAGTCCCAAAGCTGAAGTCTGTCATATGGACACACCTGACCTGACCAGGGTTCAAACTTTCAGCGTGCCAACAGTTGAACTCAGGTTTTTGCCCTTGATCTGGGTTGCTGTTAACTCAAACTAAGTCAATGTAACAATGAAACCCTATCAGTTGCCATATGCCCATATATGCTGGTAACCTAGCTTAAGTTCCTTAGCAGCAATCCAGTTATAAGCTTCTAGGGTGCAGACCACCAAATCGTCATGTTTGCGTAGGCGCTCTTCGTGGATCGGGGCAGCATAGGGAAGCTGAGCCTGTCGAAGATCAAGCCCTGAACCCCAAACCGTTTGGCGCTGGTAGTGTGTAGTGCTCCAGCTGCTACAGGGGTTATTCTGAAAATCTGGTGGTAGTTCCTTAAACCCCTATATTCCCCCAGTTTCCATTTCATTCTCCATTTTCTTTTCAATTTGATTCTCCATTGTAGGGCCCTAAACCCTATATTGGGTACCAGAGTATCCTGAAAATCTGGTGGTGTACAATCATGATTCCTTGGCTCTACGCATGACATCTACATTCTCTACATCAACCCAGGGCTAACATGCCATGCATCCAGCATAGTGCGCTGGGCCCCCATGCCGACCTCTTGCTGCATGGCCACTTGGAGAAGGATGGAAATAATTCTGCCACCCTAGGAAAACTCCTGAGGACTCCTCACTTGGTGCAGGATTTTGACCATCAACCTCTAAGAAACCGCAGGGATTGAGATTAATTCGCGTCAAGAAGAATGGGCCGTATACTCCAAAGAATTAACCTACAACTGCCAGTACTTGACTACCATCTTAAGTCACAGGCGTGAGAGCCCTGTAGGCATCTAAGGGTTCTGGATATCCCTTTCGATTCATTGTTTGGGGTAAAGTGGGGCCGCAAGTCTGAGAAACGTCTGCATCCAGGCCTGAGGCACTCATCGCTGACCTGCACGTATTCATGTAGAATTGTTGCAATGAAGTCACATGATCGGTGTCATGAGCTCCTTTGGAGACCGGTTGTTTCCTTTACAAGCGACGTGGGATGTTTATGCCTGCGTGGGCATCAAGTACTGCTGAGCAGCTATCACTTTATGTAATCGGGATCCAATTCAAACCGACCAAACGCCAGGCACGTCTGACAGGGCGGAATCTTATAGAGTTTCGGGCTGAGGATGGCGCGACAAGTCTTTGTTGAGATAACCCCTCGCTGGTTCCTCATCTTCCACCTCATCTGGCACTAAATTGCGAAACAGGCAGAAACTGTAACCAGCTCTAGGTGACCCATGACGTGATTGGATCTCAGGTCCTTTGTGGAGCACATCTGTCACCCTTCTGTTATGGAAGACATGCCTGGACAGAGTCTCCAATATTTGTGAAGAAAGTGCAGCAGAGATTGACATCCCGAAGGGAGCCTTCCCAGGTGTGCCTCAGATGTCGATGTGCCTTCTCTAAAGACTTGGCCTTTCAACCCGCAACCCAAACCTGGATCTCTGACCTCCAAGGAAAACTGCTTCAACGATGCAACGTGGGGATCCAGGTCCGGCATGCGCACGTGAACGCAGCAGGTCCTAGCAGCGGCCCAACGGCAGGACAAGCGAAACAATGTGAAAGTTGGACGTGCTTCAGCACCTGTACTTAGGTGCACACAGCGAGTACTCTGACCCCATGTACATAATGACACTGTGGACCTCCGCTGAGAAGTTGACCGAGCTGCCTACATCCCAGCCCTTGCCTATATGCAGGCGACGACTGAGAGAAAGACCTTCTCAAATCCGTACCCGCATACATCTCTCGCGAAACCATCTTGAAGCCTCAGTCCCGGATGCTGAAGCTAACATCCAACAACAACCCCTTCTTTTGCTTCATCAAATGATACGACAAAAACCAGCCCTGTAATCTTGGTATCCTTGGCATGTTCTTAAGCTGGTCCTGGATGAAAGCATCGCGCCAGTTGCCTGCCATCAGCGCAGGGACCATCAGCCGCCAATGACCAAAAACAAAGGGCCGCTCAAGGATGATCCCCAGATGTGTCCTGGAGAGTAAGCCTACTAGAATAAGGCCCAAACCGGGCCCTGCTTTTGGCAAAGGCCCCATCTGGCAGAGGTTGCAGGATTCTGATGTCCAACCCCATGCTGTTGTCTTCGCTCGTGGTGCCTCTGAAACATTCTATCAACATTGTATCAACATCCACATACCTGCCCTGAACAGCTCTCACATCCTTTCAGTTTGGAGTCATCAAAGCGGGCCTTTCTAGCTCGCGCCACGGCGTCTACTTCGCCCTCTTCCGCTTCCTCATCCTTCTGCCTGTCAGCCTGTCAGAGGTCTAGGAAACGCAGGCATGAGGGGCTGTCGAAAAAGAGGCCGTCCCACAGAGGACCAGTTTGTGCCCAATTACTGATGCAAAGGGATAGCCGTGGCAACCAGCAACCTCCAACATTGAAACCCTAAACAGTAAACTTAGATTTGAGGGTCGAGGGTTATGGCCACTAAACCCTCTGCCCTGTAGGGAGAGAAGCACATCTTGGCCAAGAACCAGCAGGCCTTGTTCCTCATGGTGCCCCGGATCTTTTCCTTCCATCAGGACGTCATGCGGGGGTGAGGATTTGGGGTTTCCTATCGGGATGGTTTCCTCAAAAAGGGGGGTCTAAGTCAGGAACTGTAAAACAGAGTCTGCCTCGGGAACGCCCTACAAAAGTTCACAAGCCCAAACCACCACACCACAGTTGAAGCTTCTCCAGACAATTCCGAGGTCTGCTGCTGCTGAAACCTGTCATAGTGCCCTGTGCAGCTCAAGGGGATCGCGTAGGTTAGGAGGGGCCTGTCGATCCCGGTAGTAGACTGCTGTGTATGTATGAATGATTATGAATGAATAAATAAGCTACTGGCTAGCCTTATCTTCAATTGCCTCTGTGCGTCCATGGCATGAGGGGTTCATAGAGGGACGCCAATCCAAGACCCTAAGGGTTTCTCAGGCAGAACATGGGTTTCCCGTCAAAGCACGTAAATGTGATCAGGACACATGAGCACAATCCAACCCTGGCCCACTCCAACATGAGCTGTAGACCAGAGGCATGACATGACATGTGCCCGAAGGTCCAGAAGTCGAATCCCGCAATGACCACACATGTAGCCCTGAATTTAATCTCTTTCCATGCCACGAAGAATAACCCCACCACCCACAAATACTAAACACCCCCAAACTCAGTACCGTCATACATATTAGGGGAATGAGAACCACCCCCAAATACAGTACATATTAACCTTAGTACATATTAGGGGAATATTCGTGTAGAGGAAGGTGGAGGGGTTGATTAGGGGGAGGGGGGTAATGGGCCGCGTCGAGCTGGGATGCTTGTTGCTTTGCCTGGAAGGTGTTGACCCGATAGCAGGGAAGGTCGAAGCCATAAAGGTATGTCACCTTCCAGTGAGGGCAGGTGAGATTTACACATCTGATACATATACACATATACTCTATGGTTGAAGTAAATGGAACATATGGTATTGTGGGTTGTAGTATACTAACTAGACAGTAGAAAATGCCATATAATTGACGATACAATTGATCACTTAAAAACAAATTTAATACATGGCGGATATGTACAAACTGCTTTGCCTATTGGAGTAGGGAATAAGGGAACATACTCCCCATATAATTTGCTCCGCTATTCTCCACTAACCCTATTGACCCCAAACCCCGAACCCTAAAGCGCGTATAGAATCCCTAATATAGCCCACTAACCCCCAGTAAGTCTGGGTCTGAAAAAGTTTCAAGGCGAAATGCCGCAGACCGCCCTATCACGAACAGATTGTTTGAAAGCCTCCGCCTCCTCAAATGGACTGGAAGGCAAAGTTGCTTGGAGCCTAAAACGTAGGCCTTGCTGCTGCTACTACATGTTCTATACTACAAAGTCTATAATAACTTCTTATGCCGGGGCATCCCAAACCCTCAACTGTGACTCTGGAAACCCTATGAACCCAAGAGCCCTGACACAGTCGTGACAACTTACAAGCCAAGGCGTATGTATGGGCCAGAAGAACCAAACAGTCTTGCAGCAGAAACTCATGAGTCTAGATAAATGCACTTCTTGTATCCGCCTAGAAAATGAAGGCTTGCCAGAAAAATCCCAAAGCCCAAACCCTGAACCCGAAACTCTAACCCTTAAACTGGCCCTTACCCTATATTCCCTAAACCCTTTATACCCTGAACCTTGATATGAGGCACTTGAGCTACTACTTACGACGAAGAGTTTACACATGGCTCCGGGGAGAAGGCTACAGTCCCCGTTAATAAGCCTCGCAGAACGCCTTTGAAGTTGCACGTATGCATATATGTTTATGTGCGAAGCATTGCGGTATATGTGCACATGCGAACACATGGAAGTTTCCCTAAATTACTGTTCCCAAAATGGAGGAAAAGTATATAGGCCCCGTATTATAATAGGAACCTAAATATAGGACCCTGTATTGACAGTAATTTAGGACAATCCCCACATAAACATATTCCTTAGTATCCCCCTTAATGACGCCTATAGTAGTCTCCTATATAATCCCCTATATAACCACCCTTTAAGGAGTTTAGACTATAGCTCACATATTCCTTTGCAACCGCATTGGCCTTGGCTGCTTCCTCCACATCATCCGGGGGCGATCCCCAGTCTCTCTCAAAGATGTCCTCCCAGGATTCGGGATTGGGGGATCCCCTCAGTAACAGTTGGATAATAGTTATAATATGGTTATAGATCGCCCTTAATAGGACCCCTAATATAGACTGTTACTGGGTGGGGCAGTACCCAAGGTTCCTTCCATTTTCAGAGACAGGGTCGCTCGGTGCCCTTTCCCGTAAACGAAATAATTCACGTAGTCATCCCAAACATGGCGCTCGGCAGGAAGTGGTGTAGCTTGGTAAGCATGTTGCCCATTTTCGAGGCATAGGCATACCCACCTCAGGCCCAGAATTGGTACCAGCCCAAGCAATGAAAGACGTGGACTTGTGGTAGAAGCTCAACACCTCCACACCTCACAGGACAACCGAACCGCTTCGTCCTCCAAGGGCTGACTCTCGGGCAGCGCGTAGTAAACGCAAAAGTCTGGAGGCTGCGGGCCATCTGCACATGGAAGGAGACTTTGGGGTGTTAATGAGAAGGATGCCCAGGCGGGACCTAATGAACTATGCTCCTACTGAGACACCTTACATCTTCATTGCAACAAGAAATTCCGCCCAAACGGGCTGGAAAACGCTAAAGAAAATCTGCACGGCAAACCCTGCAAGTAGGATCTTAAATGGTAGCACCGCAGCTCTTCGGAGACTGTACGGGACTCGGCGCTGCTTCCCAACCTCCCCACATGTTGACCTAGGACTTGACAGTCAAGTTTCGTATGGCTACCTTTTCGCTACTCTCATGTTGGTTGCTGCTATTCCTTTTGAGGACATGGTGACAACTTTGGCTGCCATCGCTAGTATCCTACTGGTACTTGCGCGGTCCCGACCTACACTTCTCTGACAAGAAAGCACATCATGAAGTCGTTTGAAGCCTAGCAAGTCGTCAACACTCGCAAATGTCCAACAATTTCGAAAGAGATATGGAGCCTGCAGCCGCGCTACACTGCTCCATCCCATGAATACCCACTTGATACTCTTAGGGTTTAGGGTCCAAATGGGCTTGTCCGACCTTCCACATAATTCTGGTGCTTCAGGGGAGTGGTTCTCAATCCCTGAATCCCCATGTGATCTCGTAGAATGATTCCTGTATTCACATGCAGAAGATGCAGAAGTGGAATTTCCAACATGTTCCCTAGTCCATGCTAATCGACCCTACCATGATCCACTCATGTTCCCTGTATATCCGTAGTGTCGGCACGGGGTCCCTGTGTATCCCTAGTTTCGGCACTGGGTCCTCGATTTCCAGAAGCACCCATAAACCCTAAACCCTGAATAATGTAGGTGTGTAGATATACAAGTTTCCATGTTCTTTTCCCTTTACCCTTATATATCCCTACATGAGCTACAGTCTAGACTCCTCGTAGGTCCTTGTATCCCCCTTAATAACCCCTATAATACTCCCCTATATAGTCCCCTCTAGGGAGTTTAGACTTATAGTAGTTTCCAGTGTCTTTTCCATTATCCACATATAACCCCAATATATACTATATAGTAGTTTCCATTTTTTCTATTATCCTATGGCTCATATCATCCTATACATCCATATGTCGCTCAAGCGATGAAGGACTGATGCATGCTGCCTGCTCGGCCACCCCGCACGGCGGACTCGCCGGCTGCGCGCCTGGCCAGGCAAAGCTTAATAGCGTTAGTAAAAAGCATAGCAAATGATAATCATAATAATAACCATAAAAATATGTCTATTTATAATAGCGGTAATAAATGATAATAAGCTCAAATAATGATCATCGTAAAGACAATAGTAAGCAATTATAATAGTAGTTGTTTTTAACTTGTTCATATATTAGCAGTAATACATGAAAAAAGAATACCAGCAGTAAGAATGGGGATGGACATTTTAACTGTCGGGGCCATCAAGGGTCCTATGCTTGGGGCTCTTGGGATTGATGGCATTCTGTTTAGGCTTTAGGGTTGGCTTAGGGTTTAGGAGTTTAGGGTTCCGGGTTCAGGGTTTAGAGTTTAGGGTTTGTAGGCATTTGGGCAGGGGTTCAGGGTTTTGATGATCTGATGCTTCGTGGCTGTGGGCATGTTCCGACAGGTTGTGTAGAAAATTGCTGAGCACTGCTAGACCCAAAAGCAGTCGCAGTGGCATCTTGACTTTGGACCCAGCAGTCCGGCAGCACCTAGGATGCTAAGACCCTAAACTTTAAACCCTAAAACCCTAAACTCTAAAACCCTCATCTTGATTTGTGACAGGGACCACCATGGGACTCCACGGTCTTCGATAGCCTCTATCCTTTACTATTACTATTATTACAATTGTTAGTACTGTTATTATTACTCTTCTGGCTACTAGTACGACTCTTATTAGCTACAAGAAGCTCCACAAATTGGTGGAAGCAAGCTACAGGTTGACTTGTAACAAAGCTTTTCGGTTCATCGTACCACTACAGGTCTGCGAAGCGTAGGTAGTACCAATTTACTGATAGTACTAGTTTTTATATCAGTACGACTATTCCGCAACCCATCTCCTGAGCCCTAGCCCAGCATACCTCAGCTGGCTTACCTCTGGGCACTGGTTCCAGGCTGGGGAGCGGAGGTATTCTCCGGCATCTCCTGCAAATCTCGAACCAGCAGCCATTTTCAAAAAACAAAAGAGACAGGCAGTTCCAACCTCATAGACATGGAAAAGAGAGGAAGCAGGATGATTCCAAGAACGCAACCCCCTTGTATAAGTGCTTCTGCAGGGCCTGTGGCACCGCAAACGGCTCCTCAAATGCCCCTCTGGACATAATTCGGCAATTCGTTCAGGTTTTCGTGGTACACTGAAAGCCTCCACAGCCCGGCCCGCACTCCTGGATCTGCGACTCCTTCTTCTTTCCTTGCACTAATGCAGGTGGAGAGCATCTTGCACGGGCCAGTCCATGGACTCCCGAGACAACCAGAACATCAGGTCAGCTTCACGAATTCACAGCTTGTGCCATCATTGTTACTTTTGTTGCTACCATGACTACTATTAATGGATATCCCCGCTAGTACTAATAACACTATTACTACTACGATTGAAAATGTCTAGGAGCCATGGCTTAAAGACTTTCACCGTGCTACAGCAGGAGCTAAAAGCTGGCCTAAGCTGAAAAGAACACTTGGTGCGCACAATCTGGAAACGAACAAAGCCCACTATCACAGAAGCTATGTGGAGGCATTTCTCCAAAAGCCCCATTGCAAATGTGCAATCAATCTTTTTCATCCAACTCAATCCGAAATCCTGCCCCAAAACCATGCCAGCTACAGCGCAATAGTAATCACAATAGGGTTGCTCAAACCAAACCGCTGACACTTGCAGCCAGGGGACGTATTCTTTGAAGCTGCACTGTGGTCCCCTGCGTGAGCATCTCTTTAATTACTCTTATTGCCTTTCAATGCGGTTTAGGGTTTAGGGTCCAAATTGTACAGTCCCAAGCTCTCTTGCTCCCTTTTGGAATGCCTGTTCATGTGTGACCAGATGCACCTTTCAGGGCCTACCTAAAACAAAAATGCAACCAAGCGCTTGTCCAGGGGCCCTTCTCCATTGCACCCCATGGGTTCGCAACAGTTGCGATGACAAGCACCGCTGCGCTGAAACCCCACCTGCCTGTTGAAACCCCCAAATCAGAACCCAAACGTGTCAACTGTCAAACTTAACCCTCAGATAGCGCCTTGTACTTGATCTTTGGCAGCTTGAACCTTTGATCGAGCCTCAGGTGCTGCTAAGATTTGGATAGATGCCTGCATCAGTGCTGAGAAAGGATGTTGAAGCAGCTCTCCCGAATCAGTGACTGGAATGGTACTTGAAAGATGCTTCCACCTTCCAGTCGAGATACCTACAAAGAATGGAACACTGCCAGAGCCCGCGAAGGCAAAAGGCACTACAACGATCCCATTTCCAGGCAAAGAGCACTGGCACCCCGCCCTGTTGAAGCTATACTTAAAGCTTGAGCCCCAAACTTACTGGTAGTTCATAAGGAATAAGATAGAGAATCAAGTCCCTTTGCAATCTCCACCTAATACATTCCCTTATTCCATACAAACCCCTGCCAGCAACATTTTCCAACATAGTCAAGCCACTGCAGTTTGTACTTCTGAGACACAGCAGCTAGGCACAGCTGCACCACCTGAAACGTGATGCATTGTGACTTACTGTTGTGACCTACTGGGGTTTAGTAGGGGATAAGGGAATACAATAACATATTCCCATATTCCCTACTAACCCCCAGTAGATTGAAGTATGTCCAGTCAAAACAGGTCTCTCTTGTACAGATATTCGGCAGGATGAAGCCCTACGCCCTGTTGGGGTTCCCATGCCTATGCTTCTTATCCTGAGCACTGTGGAAGCCTCGTACCTTGCTTAGGGGTTCTCGTGAACCTAACTTTTTGACCGGCAATGATCAGGCACACCTCCAGAAGCTGTAGGTAACTGCAGTTGCAGGCGAGTTTGAAGGCAACCTTCAACCCCCCCAGACACAGCCTGTTCTCGGAACGCTGGCTCTGCGGAGCATTCCTCCACGACCTGGCAAAGGGTTGTGACTCACTGCGGATCAAGCTCCAGAAAGCCTATGCTGTTGTGAAGAAATCGTTTTGCCCTTTGGGTGCCCCGTGCCAACTGCCGTTGTTGAGGCTTAAGAAGGGGACCCCTGTTTGACAGATGCACGCACGCAGGTCAAACGAACAGCTCTGGGAGCGTGCTGCTTTATCGAAGATACATGATGACCCTAACCTAGCTTGGGTTCGGGTCCCTGGAAGGCCACAGTCACCAAGACCACAACCACCACCACAACTGGAGTGAAGTCATGTATCTTAGCAGCGGTCATTCATGTCTAGTCGCATCTGGCTGGTCAGCCGGCCTTTGGATTAGCCACCACGTCATAGGTCACGCAGGGCTCGCCTTTCTTGTCGAAGTCCTATGTACAGCCAACTTGCAAAAGGAGACTAGCGCAGCGGTCTGAGTGATTTTCGCAGGGTTTGTAGGGCGGCGACCATTCCTGAAAACTTTCCAGATAGCATTTTAAGCCTCATCCTCTGTGAATCGAGGTCAGCTGGCTCTTCGCCTTGTTAATGGCGCGACTAGCATTGCAACTTACTTGTGAACAATGGTTCTGTTTGATGGTCTAAGTTCAGCATTTCACGCGTTAAGGCTCATGTTGCAAGTCCCATCCGTGACTCAAAAGCGTGAGGGCAGCTGCGTCAGTGGACATGTCTTGGAATCACACCCAGACCCCCAAAAGGATCCAAAAAATCGATGCCCTAGAACCACGTGGAAATTCTATAGGGTATATATAGGGGTTACCATAGGTCTATATGGGATCTGATTTTTGGACCCTCCCAGGGATGTGCATAATGGACCTCCCCTCATTGACATGCTTGATTGAGTGAACGCACGTGCTTTTGTGACCTCGGCCCATCGAGGTGAAGACTGCAAAGTTCTGCCCCATTGAACCTACAAAGCTACTTCTCAACAGGATTCCCCCTCCCCAGAAAACAAGCTAGTAAGATTCTGGGTAAGTATAGGCACATCAATGGACCCCAACTTTTGCGACATAGGGTTCAGGTGTCCTCTACGGCAACTCCGATGGACAGGGGCACACGGCAGCCCTGCTCCCCTTCGAGCTCTGTGTAGCTCTTCATGTGCGGCTCCTGGTTTTGGAGGCGATACAAGCAGCTTGGGGAAGCAATGGTCGCAAATGCCGGCAGGAAAGGAAAAGTAGGTCAGAAGGGGCTCGCGACAGGGGTATGCCCAAAAAATGCTTTGCGAGGCCCATTTTGCGTCATCCTCATGGAATCCTTGGCCGTCAGTCCGCGCCTCAATGTGAGGGCTCGACACAACGTTGATGAAAATCTTGGTGCCAGCATCGTTGTCGCGCGTCTTCACGACCTTGGGGTGTGCACAGGACGCCTCTGGGTTTTTGGAAGCTTCCCCACGAAAGCCTACTACATCCAGAGACGGTTGAGCTCAGGTCGGGGATCTGTGGGAACTACGTCCAGGTAGACGCAAAGTGGAGGCACGTAGCACGCCCGGGTCCTTTATGTCCATCAGCTTAAATCCTCAAAGGCTTTAAGCATGCTCCGCTGCGGTGTACTTGGCTTGAAGATCCAAACTAAATCTTCGAGGAACTCCGGACCCATTCAACTCTCCCTAAAGCTTCTGATGAGAAGGGACTTCTGATATGATTAAGACCTGTTCATCACTCCCACAGACGACATGAAGCCTGAAAGGAGGCCGCGTGGAGACGCAGACGCCTTTCTACGTTTTGAAGGCGTTCCACGCTTGCTTGGAGGATTCCGTCTCCTAAGCCCAAGACAGCGCAACGCTTCAACTCCCAAACCTCCAGTACCCACCAAAGCGTGACCCCTAAACCCGAGAGAGAATTCAACCCCATACCTCAACCATCCCCTAAGTAACACACCCAAAACCTTCATCCCCTCCCCCTAATATTAAACACCCCCACCCCCACTTCACACTAAATACTCCCCATTGTGGTATCTTATCATATATGGGAAATATTTAATGTAGGGGGGTTGGGGGGGTTGATATTAGGAGGAGAGGATTATGCCTCCCGTTGCCAAGCTTCACGACATGGCTGAGAGCGCGGCAAAGCCTGCTTCGGGACGGGTGGTGATACCACCCTCTGGATCTACCTGCACTGATATGCGAGATTCGTGAAATCTAGGTTCCTAAAGAGGTGCTCATATATATATATACATATCTATACATCATGTGTTTGAATTACCTCATGAGATAGGGGTGATCCTTTAAAATGGATTGTGGATAGGACTCGACCTTAAGGGCCCCTTTTAAGGCGAATCTGCGTACAGCACAGGGCCGCCTGTCCATTGAGGATCCAGGTTAGCGGTTCTGCCGAGATCTTTGAAAACCAAAGCCGTTCAGACTCTTTACTTCTCTTCTTAGGCATGAGATGGCATGAGCCACAGTCAATGCAGGTCATCGCCAAACAGGGAAGACTTCAATTGAGGGCCGCATGCGAGAGGCAACCCGAATCAGGGACCTGTGCCTTGCTTATAAAGCGACAACCCCAAAAGATATACTATAATCGAATATAATATGCAATGATCTAATATAATATACTATAATCTAATATAATATACTATAATATAATACAATATTACATGATATTTCATGTAATTATACCTACTAATGCTTGACCCCCGTGCTCGTGACAGACTTCGCCTGGTCGAGCAAGGCGCCTGCTCCCAGGTCTGGTGTAACACCTGCGCATGAATACCCGCAGCGGTAATTATGAACTGTACGTAGTCTAAATTCCTGAAAGACGGGTTATATAGGGGATATTGGGAACCATTAGAAGGCTTGTTAAGGAGCATGCTAGGGAGTTTAGACTGTAGTTTATACGCTAAAGTTTAGGGCTACCATGAAGCTGAAAACAGGTGGAAACGAATGAGGATTTAGAGCGGATTGTTTTTGGGTTTAGGGCTTAGGGTTCTGCAAAGTTAGTTCTCATGCTACCTGGAGATTACTATCATTCGCATACAGGCCTGACCACCCACTCTCTACCTCTACGGTATCGGTACAAGGATGTTTCAGGCTTCAAGTACATGGCAGATGTGCACCCAGGATGCTAACCCCTGCCAAGCAAACGGGGGTTGAAGTATTGGGATATTGAAAAGGAACTTTTGTCAAGCGTTACACTCATGCAAGTTAAGCGTTGAGGCTTGCTGTTGCGGGATTGCATGTGCCTTCTTACAATCAGGCTTCTCGAAAATGGGATTACTGTGGATTCTGGCTGCAAGGGCTTCAAAGCATCAAGCAGGACAGGAATCAGGCGGAGCTCTCCATGGTGTGATGCTCAGCCCTCAACCTTTCAACCTGCAGTCAGGCATTTTACATGTGCGACATTCTTCTGGGTTGCTGTTAAGGAACTTAAATTAAGTTACTATATTGGGGAAACCCTAGTATTTACTATATATATACCCATTATGGTAACTTAATTTAGATTCCTTAACAGCAACCCAGTGTTTCGCAGATGTAGACCGACTGACCAGGACCATGTCCTTGTTAGAAGACTTCTATGCCTACATGTCCTTTCCAACAGAAATGCTATTCTTATGTGAATTATAGTCTGAACTCCTAGTATCCCCCTCAATAACCCTTTTACTACTCCACTGTATAATCTCCTATATAGCTCCCTATAAGGAGTTTAGGCGAGAGCTCATGGGAACACGCATTCCTGATCTGATTGGGCTCAAACTTGGAGAACATGCTAGCGTGGCTCGCAAAATGTCTACATGTACTTCATACAAGTATCTCTAAAGCCCTCCTGGGAAGCGGAAACATGTCTAGACCCTTCGTTGTTTAGGACAGTTGTCTTTGCAGGGTCCCTTTTGTGGTTCTTTGCCGGCCCAGGAAAGCGCAATCACCCCAAGTGACACGGCTGCCTTCCTGGAGCATTTGCTCGTAGCTCTGCAGGTACTCCTCCATGCTGCCTGGAAGGGGAAGCAGCGCGGCAGCGCTAGCGTTGTTAATTAGACAACGAGTGTTTAAGTAAGCAAGGCATGGCAACACTCTGAATAATGACGGAAAAGCTCAAGATGCAATGACTAATTATACGGACGCGCACACCGCACTAAACCAACTACGTGTAGGTTTCTGTCCAAACATGACCCAGACCAAGAGCAATTCCACACCCCACGCCCTGGAATTACTGCCTTCAATCTCCCAACACCTCAGCACCTCCAATCCCCACCCTTTAGCCCCGAAGCCCGAAAATAAACTCAACACCCTACACTGCACACTCACAATCCTACGCGACGTCCCCCCAAACGTCTAACCCCTGTACAGCCCGACATATCCCAACATATCACCTATGGATCCCTATATACTGCTGTATTCCTACATCCCTAGGGACTCCAGGACCCCCGCTACCCATCTAGATCCAAATAGAAAAGGAATACGGCCTCAATAGTAATGGGGTACCAGGGTCCCAGGAGGTCCTTCTTGGAGGGTCAGGGGACTTATCAAGTAGGTTAATAACCCCTATAAAGCATATGGTAACTTAATTACTAATTCCCCCTGACCCTCCAAGTAGGAGGCATACAACCTTCACCCCTAAACCCCAAACCCAAAAACCCCGAACCCTAAAACCATAAACCCCAAACCCTAAACTCTAAAACCCTAAGCCCTGAAACCCCAAGAAGCAACAAAAATGCTCGCCTCCGCCTGCCAAAAGCTCCGCGAGCTTGTCTGGGCTGCCGCCCAAGGCCTGGCTATTGATCCCATCTATATATGGGGATTATATAGGGAATATATAGGGATTATATAAGGATTATATAGGGATTGTATAGAGATTCTATAAGGATTATATAGGGGTTATATTGGGACACTGGAGAAAAATGGAAACTACTATTTAGGGTTTAGGGTATAGTCCCCCTTAAGTAGATCGAATATTAGGGTTATATTGGGGTTATATAGGGATGATGGAAAAGAAAATGGAAACTACTACATTATAGAAGTAGGGTATATATTGGGGTTATAGTCCCCCTTAAGTAGATAGAATATGGTTTTGAGTATATTATAGTAAGATCCCCATATACCCCATATTCTATCTACCTAAGGGGGGCTATAGGGGTGCAGGTTATGGGGCTTAGGGTTTGGGGTGTAGGGATTTAGGGTCTATGTCGGGATATAGGCATGACATAGGACTATACGGTATGATGAGGGCTTTACAGGCTTTAAAAGGGTCATACCGGGATTATACGGGGACTTTTTGTGAATATGGTGATTACACAGGGGTGACCTAGGGATAATGTAGGGTATGAGCCCACCAATGGAGAATCACATGGAGAAGAACATGAACATGAAATGGAAGCTGGGGCTTTACAAGGATTGCCTCCAACGGAATAATCCCTGAGGGCGTTATGGTTATATTGGGATATATAGGGAAATGGAAACAGCAAAGAAAATGGAAACTAGCATAGTCTTAAAGGTTTAGGGTCAAGAAGAATAACTTCAAAGCATACCCCTACTATATAATGGTACTACATCGCGGGAGGCGTACGATTGGGGGTGTGTAGGGGGTTCATTCTCAGGGGGAGGGGATTAAGCCCAATGGGCTCTTGTGGAGCAATCCGGGGTTCTGCGAGGATTCTGTGAGGATGATATAAATACATATGTACACACACATATTTATATATCATTATATATCTATACAATGATACATATATATATATATGTGTGTGTGTTCAGTGTAGATGAGATGATGAGGGTTTTGTTTTCAAGGTGTTTGGGTGCAGAGGATATTTTGGGCGTAGGATGTTGAGGGGTGTTAGGGTTTGAGCTGCTGGAGCTTCCAGAAAATTTCCAGTTGGGTTTAGGGTTTAGGGGTGAGGGCTTAAGGATCAAGGTTTACGGCTTTGGGTTGGGGGATTAAGGCTTAGGAAAGATTAGGGTGTGGGGATTAAGGTTTAGGGACTAGGGACGAGGGTTTAGGGATTAGGGTAACCGAGTCTACCACCACGGGAAACTGTGAGATTGGATTATGGCGTGCCACGGACATTCTCAGGATAGGCTGATCCTGGAAGTGCTTGAACTCCAGTCATAGTTACCGGTTCTTAACAGGGAGTAAAGGAATATATTATATAGGCCTAGGGATTCTATGCGGATTATATTCCTTCATTCTCTACTAGTTACTAAGGACCAGTAACGTTTTGGCTGTAGAGGAGCATCCCTCCAATTGCGCTGACATGGTCTGGACAGAAACAATGACTGTATGATGGATTACCTCAGCCCTGAACTCAAAAACCTGAGCCCTAAATACTCAACCCCTACTGGATTACCTAAACCCCAAACTGCCAAACCGCTAACCTATCTAAACCTGAGGGTTTAGAGGTCTAGGGTTTAGGGTTTAGGACCCTAAACCCTAAACCCCTAAACCCCTAAACCCCACCCCTAAACCCTAACCCCCTAAACCCTAATCAACTCCTCTAACTGGTTGCAGCCCAGGGAGCGCTGGCAAGAAGTGCAGGATCGACGGCGCCCGCATGTTCCTGCCAGTTGGACAATGCTTGGGGTTTAGGGTTTAGGGGTTTAGGGTTTAGGGGTTTGGGGCTGCTTGTTCCCAGACCCCTGGGAGGATTTAGAAAGTAGAGCCCCCAAAAGGGTACCCTATGCTATTGTGTAATTCAAAGGACCCTTCAAGGGGGATCTACTTTCTGGATCCTCGCAGGGTCTGGGTTAGTAGAGAATCGAGAAACTTTCAGGGCCGCGGGGATACATAGGCATGCATGGGGTACATTGAGCTCTTTGGGGATATAGAGAATGTGAATATAGGAATCGTTGAGAAACAAACGGCAAATGCAATGAACAATGACATCGCTGCTGGGTGCTGTCGGGCTTGTATATTGTAGAGAGCTGACTGGTGGCTAACGGCGCAGAAAGGAATGGTGAAGACAATGGAAACTACTGCATACAGGTTTGTGTTTGGGGAATGATAGAGAAGTGGCAACTACCATAGTCGTGTTGGTTATAACAGCTACCATATAGGGATCCCTTCATCCGTTCAGTACTCACACGATAAGAATACTCACGCTGGTAAAGCTGCTGGATGTAAGGATGATGACAACGACGATAATAATGAAGACGACGACGATGGCGGCAGCAATCATGGTGACGACAATGATGTACATGGCCATTGTCATTATTGCGTGCTGGTGCTGATGCCAGTTCCTCTGCTGGTACTGGTGCTGGTGCTGGTGGCGATGGTACTGCTGCTGGTGTTGCTGGTGCTGCTGGCGGCAGCCTTGGTGGCGGTTCTTTCTGATGATGGCGAATTCTCCATACTTCTGTAACAGGTACTCACTGATAAGGAAACCTGAGCACACAATACAAGACAATGCGAATAGTAACCGCGGGGAGCAGGTCCTGGGCAACCTTCTGTCCCACGCTGTACAGTTCGTCCATGGCTAGGCGTACGGGCAGCGAGGCGCTCCATGCACGTCTGTGATTGAAGCGGGTCTTCAAAGCTTTTTAGGGGGGTTGGGGGCTTGGGCTTGTAGTCCCAGCAGGGAAGTGAAGCCGTGTGTGACTTCTGTAGGGTGGATGCAATCAAAGGTGAGAGCTTGGGCTTGGAGATGGAGCTCTGGCTAAGCCTAAGGCTTTGCGTGCTGCGACATGCCGTTATGTGTGTATGCTTGAGTGCATGGCAGCTATGGAGAGTTGGCCTCCTGCTTTGCTTTGGCTATCTACCATGTTAGCCTTCAGACATTCCACAGGACGCTGCAACCCCCTGTCACGGTGCTGGCCACGAGGCGTGAGGAAGCGCTACCCATAGGTCCTGATGGCTACAACATTCTATACACCCTAAACCCTATATAAATAGTAGTTTCCATTTTGTTTCCATTATCCCAATATAACCCTTCACCCTAAACCCAACACCCTAAACCGACCACAAGGCCAAGGGATGGCAGAACTATGCCAGACCGCGAGCGAATGAAGAAGACCAACCCCTCTTCCCGTTTCTCGCAAGGCTTTTTCCAGCTACCGCCAGGAAGTGTTCAGGAGGCGGGCATCAAGCACACCTTAGCAGTTTGACGAAATCCCCTTAGTGTAGAATTAAAACACGTCCACACCCCTCACGTTAAATACTCTATCACAATACAAAAGCGCTATCCGCGCAAAAATTCTGAAATTCATGTTTTCACTCAGATGTGGTCCCATAATGTCTTATCCACTATGGGTGACGTCGCCGACCGATCGGAATGACAAATCACAATTACGCCAAACTGGCTTCATGGGCATCACGCTGTCAGGGATGTCTAGAATGAATGTTCAGTTCCAGCCACGAGCTTCTGTGATCTCAAGGTGGACGCAAGCAAGCAGGCAAATCTTGGCAGAAAGAGACGCGACAAGCATGACATGAAGGTCCGATGGAGGAACGAGTCAACCAACGTCGAACCTCATCCGGCCCCTTCACCCTGAACCCTAAACTCTTGGTAGGGCATTTGATAGAGATTTCATGTACGCTTGGGAGAGCGTAAGCCGGTGAAGGACTGGAGGCAAACTCAATCCTAAGCATGTTGATAAAAGCCGTAAGAATCTTGGTGCCGAAATTTTGGTGGTAATGTAATGAAATCATGCCTAAACAGTGCTTTAGGGTACTCCCTCTTGAGGATCTTCCACCTCCAATTGAGCTTACCCCTTCTACTCTGAGAAGCTTTTCTACAGTCACAGTTGCTGCCGTGCTCACGGTCGTCGTTCAAAGTGCATGTCTGCATGTCCTCGAAATGGCCATGAGGTGGGCTCCCTTTTTGTTCAGGTTTTAAGGACATGTATTCCCAATGCAAGAACCTTTTACAAGAACCCCCCATGGAAAGCTCTACATCTCCGGGTGTCAGACCATGCCGGCTGCCGGGCAGCATCACTGGCATCAAAGAGCACTCTCAAACGGGACCTGAGAGAGTTCGGCGATGTAAATCTAAAGGGATTACAGGGAGTCCTGCAAGTGTGCGGGTGCCAGGTCCCTTAATCAGGCGCACAAGATTTTCTAGAGGGGTCGTGTAGGAAAGTGCTAAAAACCTGCTACCATAAGCAAGAGCAATAACAAGCAACAGTAACAGCTGTAATCAGTATACTAATGATAGTCCTAACGGTTACATGAATGATACTGGTGATGACAGTAATACTAGCAACCAGAGGATCCTAGGCTAAGGAGCTGTCCTAATTAGAGAGCCAGGAAACTAGAAGACTAGGAAAGAAAAAAGGACATGGCGCTTTGCAGACTCTGGACCTGTCAAATCCCAATGGAGCCCTTGAAAAATGCCTGTGCCCCTCCTCAACACGGCCTTTGGTGACAACCTTCCACGTAGACCCAGGATATAAAGCATGAAGTTTCGGGCGGCATGTCATGAAATGCGAGTAACCAATCTATTGGTTACGTTAGTACTAAGTAGGTTCCAGAAAACTCTGTCCTGCAAGACGCCCTGCATGAGTCCCAAAACAAGCTGTACTCTTGAAGCCAGCGGGCAAGGGTATATGCTCCCGCCAAGCGCTTGCGCGGCCAGCTACCCGGAGCCTGCTTCCATGAACGTGAGCTAGAATCAAAGATCCTCTTTTCAAAGCCCTAGACCCCGGAAAAGAACATTTGAGGTCTGACAATAGCTTGCGTGACTAGCGGGGTAGACGGAAAGGCTCTGAGAAGGGGTTTGCTTTGGGTGATGCAAAGAAAACGGAAAAACATTCCATGAACGAGGTTTTGGGTTTGTTTAGATGCGTGGACTCAAGCTTGAACCAGGCTTTAGCTATAGGCCGAGAGCAACTCCTGTTGGCAGAAATCTTAGGTTGCTCAAACAAGTGGTCCACGTCCTCGCTTTTGACTAGTGATTGGATCATGATGCAGCCCAATTTCCGCGACCTGTGCAGTTCATGAAGGATTCGGTACGACTCCTGCAGGAAGGCGAGAGTCTTCTCCTTGGATCCGCCATGTTGCAGATTGCGATAGAGGAGGCAATACATGAGATGGTTTTCCTCATCTGAAGGAATCTTGTGATCGGATCCTGTCCTTGGAGTTTGGAGCTTGCACACCCCAAACGCGCATTGTACGGAAAGGGCAATCTGGAATATCCACATGTTCAAGCCACATGCGCTTCATGGTTTTGATGGCTTTGCCAATCCAATGGTCTTGCAATCGGCAACCTCACTGCGCAGCCAAAGCGTCTCAGTTTTGGATTTGTAGATCCCAAAGCTACACAAAAAACTATCTGCTCATTCCTGCAAACGTTCGTGCATATACGGTCCCTTGTAAAAACTTGTAGACTGCAACCATCGCTTGCCAGAGCCCACGGTCAATCCTTCTCATATGGAGCTGTCTCAAAGTGGGGTATCCTTGGGGGAGCGTGAGGAAACTATGGAGGTTTCTGTTGAGGCTTGCCATGTGTCGCATTACAACGTCCGTTACTGCCGAGGATCCTGTCCGTTCTTCAGCTGCCGTCCAAAAGCCAGTCCTGCGTCAACATCTTTGCTGGTTCCGTATCCGGTGTAAACATAGCAACAATTACAAAGATGTCCTAAAGTATAGCAACGCATAACAGGCTTATAAAAAAACAAGGATTGCAATTGCCTCAATCAACCAGTTTGGTCAATCCGTAAATCGCCATGCCAATGTAGAACTTCCAATCCACCGTGATCAAGCGGGAGGCATGTCTAACAGAGTGTTCACCGTAAGTGCAACCCTCAGGATCGAGGAGCGGATGAGTTCCTACAGCAAAATCCAAGAGACAGCCTTCCTCAAGGGGCCTAATGTAGGAAATTCGAAAAAAGGGTTTGGGGGAGAGTACACTATAGTAAACGGTTGTGTAAGGACTGTTTGGACATAATATTGGCAATTATTCATGTTTCTACGTTGCCAAAACAGAAATGCGCACACCCAATGCTCCATCTCCTCAAAATCTGCAGCGTTGAATTTCCGAGAAGGGGCTGATGACACTGACTTGAATAGGCCTTTCGATGCAATGGGCTGCTGGCGTTTGGTTGCAGACTGAGCTTTGTCGCAATGCTTACAACTGGCCTTAACCCTGAAGTAGCCTGGGAAACCACATACACACATACACTCCTGAGCGTGTCATATTGAAATCTGGTACCCGTACAGCCGTACGGTTTTTTCATGCCCCACCTGGGCCGTAATTCCAATCCAGGACTTTCGCGTCCACGCGCAGATCCTCAGTCTGCTCCAAGGCGAAGTCCACTCCTTCGCAGGGAATAAGAATATGTTTGATGGGGATTAAAGGTGAGCATATTCCCTTATTCCCTGCTAAGAGACAGGAACCATTCAGTCTTCATGCAATAAGCCTAGGATTAGCCTTTGGAATGGTTAGACAGGACCCCGTAGAAAAGGCAAATGGAGAAACCAATTTCAGGACACCGAATGAGGAGCTGAACAAAAATTCAACCCTCCTGATGCTCGATATGGTAGTTTCCCAGAATAGGGGGAACCCTAATTTGGACTCCCAAATACTATAATTCTTACTATAGGGACCCACCCCCCAAAAAAAGGGTACTCCTAATTTTGGGAAACCTCCATCTCTGCCTCTCAAACCGCTGCTCAACTGCTGCTAGAGGATCCGAGGATTTCCCACGAATTCGGCGGATCTGTAGGCCTTCTGTTGGCATCCGCAAGGGGAGCGCTTCCAAACTTCCACCCAATGGGCTATGGAATGCTATGGTGACTAATCCCCTCTCCTGTTATGTTACTACCACTCCCAATATCGGGCACTCCCTACCACTTTGCTGAACCAGAATGGGCCGAAGCTTCGTGCATTACCCGGGCCAAGCGCTACAAACTGCGCATTTCACATGATTTCTACAAGCCTTTTGCAGAGCTTTCAGCACTATTCAATGTGATATGCTATCATTGTGCACAACATTAATCTAGAAGATGTGTCCAAATGCTGCTTCTGAGCTACAAAACATGGAACATGTGGGCCAAAACATGGCAAGCTTGCGCAGACATCCTTCTCGACTCCAGCTGCTCATGTTCATGATGCGCATTGATGGCAGCCAGCGAACTCGCAGGTATCACCGTATTCTTATTGGCACTGACGAGTCGCATAGAGTGGGGTTCTTGAGAACAAAGGTTCCTGGCCATACAGGCCATAATGACGGCCACTTCATCATGAAGCATGGATGACGAATGAGCGGGGCCACTTGGACCACGCTATGCCATGTTAGTTGCGTTCTTTAATAGGTGTCCGGCATGGGTTTGCCGGAAGTTGTTTTGGCTTGCTGTCCGGTCTTGTCCCAAGACAATGCTCCTTCCCCATTGGCCTCATTGGCTGAGATCAAGATCTTATCCTAAATCGGCCCTTCAGCCACTGCTAGTACTTGCGAAAAGCCCCAGCCAACAAGGCTGGCCGTGCCCACAATGATGTATGGTTTTCCATAATGCAGGGCCCGGGCCCGGTGTATGTTCGAATCCTCCTTATAGGGACGGCATATATAGGGACACTTAGAAGCGAAGGTCGCACAGTTTAGGTACAATTGTCTGCTGTTCGAACGCAGGAAATCAAACTTATGGATCTCGTTCCATCATATGACTCAGCATGAATCCAGAAGATCCGCATTTAACCCTCTGAAAGTCCCTGGTAGTCCCTACATAATCGCGCATTCGACCTGTTTAATGATACCTTGCTATACAAGTCCAGGAATACATCCAGATTTTGCAGGCCAAAGTGCCAAGTCAGTCGTCCATCGCTGCCAGCCCAAAACGCCTCCAGGACGACAGCTAGGCCTTCAATAGTCATTGCGGAAAAAGTTGCTGAACTGGTTAGTGTCTATGCTCAGGGTCCCTGACATGGGCTCTCCTCTTGTAGGTTGACCCTGGTTTGCGCATGCTGCCCCTGTATGAAGCTCCCTTCTGCACATGTGTAGTCATGAGTCCGCAAGCACCACGATTTGTCACAACCGCGTGCACGCGAGACCTGGAAAGCAGTTCCTTGGGAGCCGAGTCCGCTTCCGCCCCATGAAGAAACTCTTGGCGCAACGCAACTTTTGCGCTGTAAGTGGGTAGGGTCACAAGGTCGGTTCATAGAAAGATGTGTAAGCGCTTTCCTTGGTCTGCGCAAGGGTTTTTGCTCGTCTCTACATGCCCTCTGAAATATGCAGCGTGTTGTGAACCCTGAAACCACAACCCTACACTGCAAACCCCAATCCCGATATGGGGCTTTCGTTGCAGCTAGCTCTTGGATTCAGGCTGTAAGTTCCAAAGATCTAATTAGCCCCCGAGGATTCTGGGGGTCATTGTGCTGAAGGTCTGACGGTGAAGCAGTGTTGAGGCATGTGGCCCACTACATTCTGAATTACAGTAAACCGCAAACCCTACACCCTACAAAAATGTGATGCAATCATAATTGCCCGTCAGGGTTCTAATCTGCTCCCCGCTGCCAAAACGGTTGAATATCGTCATAACATGCTCATGCCTGTACGGCTGACCCCTGGGCAGCAGTCAATTCTCCACACCAACCTCTTCTACCCTCAAGTCCAATTTGCTCGAAGACCGTATCCGCTTTTTCAAGCAGACGCATGAAAGCAAGTCCTTCGGGGGACCCTCAAGTCAAGCCTCCAGCCCTGCCCCCCAACGAAAACAGGATAACATTTTGGCAACGTCCTGCCTTGCTGGACCTGAGGATGCTTTGCATAGCACTCCCACCAGAAAACTGCTCGCTAGAAACCTTTCCTAGCAGGCCGCCCCAAAAAACTCCGACACAGGCTGCAGAAGTTGGGCAACTCCGACATACAAAGGTTCATTTTTTGCTTCGATAAGCAGGCTCCTATGTGGCAAGCACTGGACGGATCTTCATTTACAGAGAGGCTTTGAAAGTGGACTCTGACCAATGCATCCGAGGTTCCTGCTTGTGGATCTGCACCCATAGCTTCTCGGCAGCTTCTTGACCCACAAGGTCTACCAGCACATGGTATGGGAGATCCTTTGCTGCACGTCTCCGGAGGTGTTGTACTGCTGCTTAGTTGTGGTCCTATATAACATCGCGCTCCCCGCAACAGGCGTCATTTTCCAGCATCGCAATCAACATGATCACTAGAATCAACTACTGTCAGTATCAAATCAAAAAGGGTGCTGCTGAAAGGTTGAGCCCCCTTCCAAAATCACGGTCCTTGGCAAGCTTTAATGGTCCATTTGTTCGATTCGTTTCTCCACTCTTGATAGTGACATAACATCCCGGGTCCCATAATATGTGTGTAGGACACCCTACCCTAAACTCTAGACCCGATAAATGAATCTTCTTTGCAAAGCTGCCTCACGCTGCTGTGAAGGCCCACTTAGCACCCATCCTTCTGGAAGCGGCACAGTGCCCCACCTGGGAGCTGCCCGAAAATGGAGGCTATACAGGGATTATATAGGGATTATGCGAGGATTCTATCAAGATTATGTAGGGATTATACTGGGTCTGTATAGGGATATTTAGGGTTTAGGGGTTTGGGGTCTATCCCCCAATAATTTCGGGATGTATGGGGTTATATAGCGCGTCTATAGAGATACTAGAGATACAGAAGTATACTGGAAAAGAAACTGGAAGCTACTATTTAGGGTTTTTAGGGATATTACCCCAACAATGCGGAGGTCTGTGAGTATCTACAACCACATATGATCATCATACGCCTGCACTTTAGAACTTGAGCTTAAAGGATTTCCAGGAAGGACGTTTATTGCAAAGGCATTCTAATCTTGGGGTCCTGCACGATTTTTGGAAGCTGTCCACTAGGTCCATGTTCTTCAAAGTTCAAGGTATAAAAAGAGCCCAAGACATTCTGAAGCAGCAGCCAAGCCGCTTGAAAAGCAGATTGGGGTCCCACAAAGCCTCAGGAGCCAATCATCCTTTTCAGTACTGACACGATTGGAAAAATGCCAAGCGGACGGGTCCTAAGCGCCCAACGAACTTCTTCCAATTCCCCCCCGTGAGCCATAGCCTAAACTCCTAGTATCTCCTTAATTAACCCTGTGATACTCCCCTATATAATCCCTTACAAAACCTCCTTTAAGGAGTTTTCCGCTTTAGCTCATTCAATACAATAGATGTCGCAGCGCATGCCTGTGGCAGTCTCAGCCCAAGTCCCATGACGACAAGCATGAAATTGAAGTCCATGGTTCGTGTACGAACATATTCCTATGACTATGATGATTACTATTAATACTATTGCTACTATTTTCACTGCTATTACTATTTACATTCTTACCAGTACAATTATCACTGTTATTTTTTCTTACTATTACTACTGTTATTACCATCCTGATGGCAACTGCGACCGCAAACCTGCCCGTACCTGCCTGCCTGCCTTGCTCCTGAGATCCCGTGAATTTGGAGCTATAATCAAACTTCCTGAGGTTAGTAGGGAATCAGTTTTTTCCCCATCCTCGCAGTGGGGTTGTTAGATTTTAAAGTAGATGTTGTNNGGAAGCTGACTTTAGTGACCAACCACCAAGTATCCCTGCAGTGCCCAATTACCACGTATCCCTGCAGTGCCCAACCGCAGAGTATCCTTACACTGCCCAACCGCAAAGTATCCCTGCAGTGCTCAACCACTAAGTATCCTTGCAGTGCCCAAACCGCAGAGTATCCCTGCAGTACCCAACTGCAAAGTATCCCTGCAGTGCCCAACTGCAGAGTAGCCCTGGAGTGCCCAACAGCAGAGTA